GGGGGGGGGGGGCAAGTCAGCTGGGGCTGGGTCTGTAGAGAAAGCGCGTACCTCGTGCGCAAAAGAAGACGCGCGCGCATCACTCACCGAGGACAGTTGTAAGTAAGCAAGAGACGCTAGCAAGCACGGGTCCCCAAAGGGAAAGTAAAAGCACTGCACAAGAGAGGGGGGCAAGCATTGCACAATCATGGCAAAAAAGCCGTCAGTCTGTTCGCCTCTGAAGCGGCGAGAGGGGGAGGAAAGGAAGAGTGTACTGACTAAAGCAACCATTAAAGATGATTCCCATGCCCGCCACGCCCGCAATACAAAGCACCGTCGTCCAATTGCTTGGAAGCTCGAACGTTTCCCAACCCAAGAGGTGCGCGATAGGCTAAGCGGGCGGCACAAGCGGACGCAAAGGGGGCGGGACGTGCGCGTCATGAAGGGGAAGTTCAGATGGTGAGTATTTTTGGATTGCGACGTGTTTCTTAGTGGGGGGGGGGGGAAGAGGCAAAATCAGGCAAGGTACGGTCGACTCACGAGACCTATCCAGAGCGTGAGGAGCGTGACGAGACCGATGCCGGACGTCATGAGGTTAGAGTGGAGTCCGAACGGTAAAGGGGGAGGCATCCAATGCTCCTGTGCCCCTCCACCTCCTCTGATCTTGCCACCGCTGCTCGTCTCTTTGCGTCTCCGTTTCTGCTCCGCACTTGCTTCTTGTTGTGCCCGAGCCGTCGTCAGTCTTGATGAATCGCCCGAATTGGCGAGATGAGGCTCGAACATGCTCCGAGCTGATGGTCTGTTCGTCTTTGGCAAGATCCGACTCGCTCTCGCGCCCGGCCCCTCTGGCCGCGAAGAAGAAGAAGCAGCAGCAGACTTATAAGAGCCGCCTTTAGCCCTTCCTAAACGAGTAGAGCCTCTGCCTACTTCTTCCTCGTCGTCCGAACTCCTATACGCTTCCGTCTCGCTCGATTCTTCTTCCTCTTCCTCCTCCTCCTCCTCCTCCTCTTGCCGCTCGCTCGTCCATTCGTCAGCCTGCCTCTCCTCCTCATTTGGTCCACTCTTTCCCTGCGCAGCACTCTGCTCTCGACCTCGCGCAAGTCGCTCTTCTTCCTCTAGCTCAGCCCGCTCGCTTTCCTGCGCATCGTCCTGCAACAATCCCTCTTCCTCCGCCCTCAACCTCCTCCTCTCTGGCGTCACATCAGGATGCGCCACTTGGGCCGCACGATAGCTCGTAGGTCTCCTCACACCTCTACCTCTACCACCTCCGCGGCCACCAGCAGCAGCAGCAGCACCCGCATACCTCTCTCTCTGCGCCTTCTCGTCCGGTAACTTGCCTAGCAGCGCAAAGGCCATTTCGTAACCCGCCATGGTCACTGCTCCTACAAAGCTCAAGATCGCACCTAGCAGGGGGTTTGAGCCGTTCGGATTGGGCGTTGGCGTTGGCGCGGGGCTTGGCGAGGTGTCCGAAGGGGATCTTTCCACATCGATGTCCAAGCCAGATCGATGGGGCATGAATGATCGCCGAAGCAGCGTAGGCAGGTGCGAAGATGCCACGTCTGAAGTGGAGGCAGCGTGGCTGAACATCGGATCGGCTTCTCTAGGTCTTCGTCGGTGTTCTGCTCCTCCATAAGCTACCAGCACCACACCTCCCACCGCCAGCAACACAGCCAGCACCTTTCTCTGTATCAGGCAAAGCCGATCGGCAGAATGGCGCCCCGAGTAGCCCGGAGTTGATGGATTACAAGCGTCGTCAGAGGAGGTGCAACTTTCGCAAGCGGGCACAGCATAGACTCACGCGCTCCCATTTCTCGCCGAGGAAGTAGATGGAGAAGACGAGTGCCCAGACTGCGTAGGTGTTGTAGATCGTCGTCACATCCGCCATGGTGGTAAGGGGAACTGCGGAGTACCTATGCGTTCACCAGCAGCAGCAGCACAGTAAGGGAAGCAAGAGGATGCGCTCAGTCTTGCTCCATCATGAGTCTCACCATATGTAGAGTTGCGGGGCGTGTTCTCTCTCCCTTCCTCGCACCCTCCCTCCAACTCTCTCTCTCTCTGTGTATGTGTGTGTGTGTGTGTGTGTGTGCGCGCAAACTCACCAACTGAGAGCAGGAACGGTGATGCCGATGGTGAGTATGAAGAACAATTTGATGAGAGCCAAAATGTCGAATCCAAAAGTTTTCTCCAGCGCACTTTGCAGCTCCGGAGGTCCTCTATCGCTCCTCTGTTTGCCTATCCGCGCCTCCAACTGCTCCCACTCCTCCCACTCCTCCTCCTCCCCCTCCTCTCCCTCATTCCTCTCCGCTCTCCTCTCGTCCATGCTCGAGCCCGCTGTCCTGCTCGAGCCGAAGCTGGTTCGATGCGTACGCGGATCCACCTGCAACTCGTCGGCGCTCCTTCTGCCGGTGGTGGTGGTTGTGCTTGGCAGCAACAGTTGAGATGTGGATCTGGATCTGCTCCAAGTGGAGCTGAGCCTGCTCCTGACCCTTCTAGCCACTCTGGTCAAATGTTTTGGCGCCTCTTCTTCCCTTTGCGAGCTGCTGAGTTGCCAATTCAGATTAGCAGCTACGATCTCGTAGTGACTGCCCAATGTCGTTGCGGGATACCTGATGCGCAGATAGAGCAGATGAATGGGTAGCAGCAGCAAAAAGCAACTGTGACCGATATACAGACATAGGAATGGTTTTCGATAAGATAGACCGGATTGAACGTATTGAGCCAGTTCCGTTTGCATCGTAAAGGCGATCAGAGAGATACCAAAGGCGCTTAGTGCTTTGCCGCCTCCTGGCAATGAGATCCAGCCTTTCCTCTTCCTTTTGGTCGGACGAGAGGCGGTGGGTGTGCTGAGCTGTGAGCCGCTGGATGTGGCGCGTTGGCGTGATGAAGGGCGAGGCGCGTTGGAGGTTGAAGCGGGAGCGAAGGCGGGGCTTGCTGCTGCTGCTGCTGCTGCTGCCGGAAGACTTGACTGGCTAGCATGTTCCCCCTCTCCGTCTCGCCCGCCCTGTTCGTGCGTGCTTGTTGGCGCCATGCTCGATATGTGCGCGGCAGAGAAGGCGTGTGTGGTATAGAGTGCTTTGTTCTCAGCGATGTGGTGCACGGTGCACGGTGCACGGTGCACGGTGCGCGGTGCGCGGTGCGTAGGGCTTGCCCCAAGCACAACAGACGCTGCAGGTGGGAAGGTCAAGTCCACGGTCTGAGAATGAGGAAGCTTTCTACCTGCGATGCTACGTCCAATTCTGCAGCAGCAGCAGCACCTTTTCGGGCCAAGCGCAGAGAATGTCAAGAGGAGGGAGAGGAAGGAAAGAGGTGCAAAATGATCAAGCCAAAGAGTTTTGAGCTGCGAGCTGTGAGTCGTGGGTGAGTGAGTGCTGCAGCATGTGCATCCAAGATCGAACGTCAGTCACGTGAGTGTTGTGA